CAGAACCAGATGTTCTCTCTGATCTTGCTGGTTATATATTGAATATCTGATCTTTTGCCTGAAGCGTCGTTTTATTTCCATTCTGCTGTTTTACTGTCATCAGTTTAATGATGTTTTATTGTCTCTGATGTCTGAAGATGTTTTATTGGTTCTTTGAGGTCCATCTGAGAGTTCTTTAAACAATCGTTTGCAGAAATTGTTCTTTACAGAATGTCTTGTTGACAGGTTCTGTGTCAAACTGAAGTGGTTCTTCTGCGGCATCGCTGTGAAGAACCAGTGTTTGTTCCAGTGAGAACCTTCATGATGTGTAGCGGTCTGTGTACGGATATGAAGCGTGTTTTAAACGTGTGTCCAGGTGTTGAACCTACATGTGAGCACTGTGGGCATCAGAGCGGCGAACATGAGGAACAACATGGAGAAGAACAGGAACCCTGAGTTGCTCAGAACCTTCTTGGCCTCGTTGCCGATGCCCAGGTACAGCAGACCAATCAGAACGCCGATCCCGATGTGAGACGAGATCCTCAGGTGAGTCAGCACCTGCTCCACCAATGACAGCACGCCTTACTACAACAGATAATTTACTCACAAATGTCTGTTTGTTACCATTTAATGTTTAAATTGCTGTAATAGTTCTTTGTTTCTGGCTTTTACTTCTCTTGTTATAAACTAGTTTCATAAAGATCAGCTGTTGTAACTCCAAGAGGTTTTAGTAGCTGCTCCTGATGTTTGAGTTTTGGGTTAAAAATTGATTTTCAGGAATCACAAAACCAAACTTTGAATTAAAAGTATGAACACGTTTCAGAACTAACACGTAACCTCCTGACAGTCGCAGCCAAAGTGTTGTGAGTTCAAAGACGATCAGCAGAAACACATTCAGTCAGAGTGTTGTGTGGATGTGAAGATGGTCACCGAGTCTCTGAGGATGCTGAGGAAGGTTCTCCTGAACAGGATGGAGAACTGGGTCATGCAGCTGGCTGAGAAACTGTGACAACCTTCAGAAGAACAGCTCTCCTGTAAACACAATGAAAGACGGTGAGCTGCTGGACAGACCAGGATGGATCGTCTTTATCAGATCTGCTGTTTCCTGGTGCTCTGACTTAAACAGACGAGTCCTGAACTGAGGAGCTTCATGAGACAAACGTCATCAATACCTGGAGCTTCAGGTGAAGCATCACCACTAAGACATAGCACGTCTTCATGTGAAATGTCTTCCAATTAACAGTCTGTCCAATCTGTACTTTACAGTTAATTCACCTGTCAGGTGTGTCATCAGCTAAACCAGGAGAGAAGAGCTTCAGGTTGCAGCTGGAGGTTCATGTTCCTGCAACTATAACGCACTCACCCATTGGTCCTAAGTCTAAGGATTATGTCAAGTCATTATGAAGCTGCTGATGGACCAATCGCAGCGCTGGGTTAGCGGTTAGCTTTAGCATCTCCAGGTGTCTGGGTGCGTTAGTTTTACCTCCTGCCACAGCAGCGGGTGGAGGCTGGTGTCTCCATTCAGCTCCGTCTGATGGTCCTTCTCAGCTCTCGGATCCTGAACGGCTTTAACCAGACGAACCATCTGATCTCCATATTCTCCTGAAGCCACCTCCATCACTGCAGCAGCAGACAGGTACAGACAG